GTTGTGGCTGCAGCTTTTTCTCCTCTTCATGGTGGCAGCCAGCAGCAATTTCTCTTTCATAGTTCACTGTGCAGCACTGTAAATCCCAGCTGTCCATGGTGCTTTAAGTTATTTTACAGTTAATCCTTTGTTCCCTGAACACTTAATCAGACCTGCTGGGCTCTTGGAGTGTCTCAGAGTAAAACATGAGAAAACTTTTATGTGCATTGCCTTGTAGGTTTGTCTTTCAGAGTATGGATAATCTGCATGTAATGCTTTGTGTATTTTCTGATTTGGAATGAGAAAATATTTACAACAGTGGATGTTGCTGTTAAATTATACTTGCAGGTGGAAGTGTTCCATCTATATAAGACTTGTCGTTCTGTGTTTCTGATTTTTAGATTGCAAGAGGACCCTCCTGTGGGTGTCAGTGGTGCACCATCCGAGAATAATATAATGCAGTGGAATGCAGTTATATTTGGGTAAGAGTTTTTGGTCACTAGGAAATTCTACACCAGAGGGCTAAATATAATAATCTGGTGTTTGTTTTTACAATTATTCTCTTTTTTTTTTCTGTACATAAAGTCAGCAAACTGAGAGGAATGAGTGAGGATGCTGTTGTGGCAATAATTTGTTTTCAGTAATAAAGCGGAATGCATAGGGAAGAAAAACTTTACATTTTAAATTTGTTCAGCTTTCTGTGTTGAATAAAGCCTGCATGAAAGGGTTAGATTGTGTAGGAGTTGGGTTATGAAAAAGCAGGACTCCTCTTTAAAGTACATAAGCGTCACATGTTCCAGGCCATTAAATCCAGATGTATTGGCAGTGATTGGATTGATTCCCAGTGGGACGAGGTACAGGTTCTGTCTGGGAAGCTACATGTATCCTACAGAAGAGGAGCTGGCTTAGTATCCTTTTGTAGAACTGCAGTATGCTTGCTAGTAATCTGCTCAATAATTCCAGTCTGGTCACATAATGGCACATGTATTGCTTGGGATGATGATAAAATAGATATCCCAAATAGCAGAGTGACTGTGGGGGAGTGTCTTAGATACAGCAAAGCTCTCAGAGATTGCTTCTGCATGCTTCTCTAAGTATTTAGATTATTGCCTCTACCTATATCTTGGAGAGGATGAAGAAGATATAAAGTTGTTGAGTTAATTTGCCTGTGTGGAAGTAGGTAATGATCACTTTTAACTGGAGTTTCTTTTCAAAACCTTTCAGGCCAGAAGGGACACCTTTTGAAGATGGTAAGCTACTAACTTTTATATTCTTTGCCATTCTTATAAATATTGCCAGTATTAACATTGTTCTACTCTGGAAAAATAATAGATGTTATCTGTATATAATTTGAAAGAAGCCAAGCAGGTGAAGGTTTGTTGGCCATAAAAATATGCATCTTGATCTAAGCAGTGTCTTGTCACAGTGGCTGATGGTTAGTTAGGAAGCTGTGCAGTGATGCTGCCATCAAGCCTTGTTTGTACATGTACACCAGAGCCTTTAGCAGGGGATGTTGGCCTGGTGCTGCCAGATGTGTTTTCACATCTCCAGAGCTGAGCTCAACAAGACTCTGCTTTTCTCGTTTCATCTTCCTGGCACGTTTGATTCACTGCTGTTCTCCTAATGAAGAACAGGTGAAAAACCTTGAATTGTTCTGAATATAGAACTCAGTGAGGGCGAGGGAATCCCAAATTTGTACATAAACATGAAAGTTGGTGTGTAATGAACCTCCCTTAGGCATATGAGGAATAATGGGTTTAATAATTATAGTATTATTGCAGTAATTGGCAGCAGATGGGTTTTTCTCTGTGTTGGGTTGGAGGAGTTACAGTAAATTATTCACTGATCCATAATAAAGGTTTTCAGTGAATCAGTTATGAGCTCCAAAGACTGAGATTGCTGATTATGGAATTCCAGGGTTTTTTTGCTGGCACCACAGTGCCTTCTTAATGAAACGCCTTCAAGTCACCCAAGTCCACAGAACCAGCATGTTGGGTCACGGAAAAAGGGGAGGGCAGTGGGATAATGTTGGCTCTGGCTGCCTTTGCCATGCATACAGGGAGTCTCCAACCTTCTACCCAGCTTCTGCTGCTGGGTTTATTACTCTTAAATTTCATTGTCACTCGAAATACATGAAAAGAAATCCGACTCAGTGTTGTTTGTTTATGTAATGGTGAGAAGAAATACTGATCATGGAGCACATAAATTAATTTCTTGTCTATGTTCCTGGAGATGTTCTTTTGTTGTTAGTTATCTGATTGTCCTTATCTCTGTTTGGACAGGTACTTTTAAACTAGTAATAGAATTCTCCGAAGAATATCCAAATAAACCTCCAACTGTTAGGTTTCTATCAAAAATGTTCCATCCAAATGGTGAGTGAATCATCTTTATTTAGCTGTAATACCCATTAAATATTATGGTGTGGTCATGTACTCTCCAAACCTCCAGAATGCTTAACAGCTCTTCATCTCTCTTCATTGCCATCTCCTAAGTAGATGTCTAGGACAGCAACTGCTTGATGAAAAATTAAGAGTTATGATGCTATTAAGAAGCAGCTATCTGCCTCTTTCTAATCAATATGTACCCTCAGTAGCAAAGCCTGTGAGTATTTTCAGCAGCAGCTGCACTTAGGTTGGTTTCAAGAGGCAATTCTGGTTGCAGCTTCCTGCCCCCTTCCATTTAACAGCAGTTGTGTCTGTGCAGCCACATCGTGACTGCAGGGACCCGATGGAGCCAAATGTTATTTATTTCTGCTGGGCAAGATTTCAAGTCCCTGCTTTTGTCCTGTGCTCTGGACCAAGCTGGACTAGCACAGGGAGAACATGAGGATGCTCAGTCCCAGAGGAGGCATCTGACCTCAATTCTCTGATGAGGGCAGCACTGGGAGGGTGTGCACTGGGGTTCCTCCCCAGCACTTGATAGGTTTGACTCAGATATTCCTGCATTCAGGTTTTATTGAGAAAAACCCAAACCCTGCCTCTTGCCCCTCTGTAGCAACAATACCTCATGTCCTGGGCAGGCCAGTGTGTCTCTGCAGGGGGGTTGTGCTTTGTTGGGTTTTATTGGCACAAACACCTGGAGCACAGGGGTGTAGGACTCAGTGGTGAGTCTCAGGATCACCCAGACTCCATTAATCCAGACAGAAGCAGGATTTCAGGCACACTTTCCCATATTTTCTGTTGTCTGCCTTGGTGCATCTCATAGTGAGCACAGGGTTTGTGAAAACAGGGCAGGAACTCCCCCATCCAGTGTGTGGTGGCCTGAGTGGGTTCCAGTCCTGCAGTAAATGCCTTGCTGCTCCCTGGGAGGCCTCTCTGTGTGACAATATGGATCAGTCACACTGGAGGAGCAGCAAACCCAGTCTGCCCATTCCTGTGCTAATGCCAAAATCTTCAGACCTTCCCTCTTTTCCTCTTCAGCGTTCTGCTAATTTCAGTAATAAATCTCCAAAACACAACGTGTCAAGCTACAGAAGCTTGTGAGACATAACTGCTGTCCTCTTTCCTAAAGCATTAATTTATGCACAGAGTGCTTTGGAACAATAACTCTGCCTTGAACAGTATGTAATGAACTATAAATCTGGCAGGTTCTAAATGCTCTCTGTTGTGTTCGCAGTGTATGCGGATGGCAGCATATGTTTAGATATTCTTCAGAACCGCTGGAGTCCAACATATGATGTGTCATCTATTTTAACTTCAATTCAGGTAACTTTGCATCTGTTTTACCAAACAATGATGTTGTTGTTTGTCTCTATTCCAGAATACCCAGCTCAGTGATGGGGATAAGCCAGGCATCTCTATCTCGAGGGGAACTTCAAACCCCCGTGAGCTGAGCAGTAGCTTTTCAGATCAAATAAAGGCAGAGGTGCTGACCTACATAATTACTGATTCTGAGCTACAAAACTGCCATTATATATTTTTGGACAGGAAAGCAGTTACTGCTTTGGGTTCATTTTTAACTATTTTTAGTCAAGACAGGACATGAGCTGCAGAAATTTGCCTAGTGTTTCAAACACCAACCTTTGTCATGAAACTCTGCCCTTTGAAGTCCTCAAAGGGACAATACTGCTGGAACCTGCTACTTGGAATAAGTGAAAATGACCTGGTACAGCAGAAAGGCACATTTCCTTTTCTCCTGTGTGATTCTGTTTTTCTACAGTGAAGTTTTGTAGGAGACATTGTAAGCCCCTCTTCAGTCCTGAATGACAATAGAAGTGTAATTATCAAATAGTCAATTAGCTTCATAGTGCTGACTGGTGCAAAGGACCCTGTCCGTCTTAAGCTTGTGAACCTACAAGTGTGTGCAGCACTAATGCTTAAGCAGGGTGTAATTTGAGGTTCAGCAATGTAATTATGGGTGCCTAACCATGAGTTCAACCAGGTTTTATTCATCTAGCCCTTCTGAGTCATGTCTGCCCTCTGAAACACATTTGACTTGAAAGTTACAACTTGATTTTCCCTGATTTAAATGTGTTGGTTTGTCTCACATTATGTTTTCCCCTCTTTCCAGTCTCTGCTTGATGAACCCAATCCAAACAGTCCAGCAAACAGTCAGGCAGCACAGCTTTACCAGGAGAACAAACGTGAATATGAGAAAAGAGTTTCAGCTATTGTGGAACAAAGTTGGAATGATTCGTAACAGCTGCTGTGTTACTCTCCATCCTCCTAATCCTTATGTACAATTTAACTCTCAGTAGAAAGGCTACCAGAAATTTCAAGTGCCACAGTTCTATGAATTTGCATAAAACCTCATTTGCAAACAAAATTAAGCCCTCCAGTTTAGGAAAGCTAAAAGCTTGTGTATCTCGATTAACGTCCTTTTTATTGCATGGTATGAACTAAGTTATTGCTACATAAATTTGTAATATATCCTGTTTGTATTTTTTTTCCAAGTGTATAATGTTGGTGTGGAGTTTTCATGACAGAATATACACATTTTGTAAATCTGTACTTTTTCAAATATTGAATGCCTTATTTTTGAATTCTTTAGATTTTTAAATTGGAGAAAAGCACTTAAAGTTTTTATATATGAATATTTCATGTAAAACTGTTAAATACATAACCTTAGTGCAAGACATTCTGCTCTCACTCTGTATCTGTTTCCAAGGGCTCATTTTTAGTCCATTTTTCCTTTTGGTCTATGCTGATGGTACCATGCACTTTACAAACAGGAAAGTTAATCCATGATGTAACCATCTCCACAGGATGTCTTTGCTTCTGCACCAGAGCTTAGCTTGATTCTGTGTGTCCTCAGTTGTATGAGGAAGAGTTTTGGTAGCTGCTAATCACAAATGGGGAAACAGATGTAACTATTTTGCTAAAAATCCCACTTTAAACCAGCAGGGGAGTTGGAAACACCACCTGGATGAACCAGGCTTGGTGCTAATGTATTCTAATAACTTTTATTTTTCAGGGAGATTGTATTTTACCAAGTTGTAAAATGTTGTCATCTAAATCTGTCCTATATTCACACACTGTAATATAGTTTTGAATACCTTCCAGTAATTAAAGAGGTGTCCCATTAGTTTCCCTTGGGGGTGGGGAAAAAATTAATCACCAACAGAAGAAAACACGCCTGCAGATTTAATGGAGTTATTCTTTGAGGCTTGGCTGTGCATTGCCTGGTCAGGTCTCGTGTCTGTATCACAGAGGTTCCACATACTTCTAAACTGCTGGTTTTAAAGAAGTTTGGCTTTGCTTTTGGAAGTGTTGATGTGGTAATAATTTCTTACTGTATTCTATAAATCAGGCTGGATGACTACAGTAAAGAATTAGACCCTTTTTTTTTTTTCTTCCAGCAGCAAAATTGTAACCCCTTTGTCATAATTCCAACTGGCATTACATATGTATTAAAACCTCCAAATCCTATACCAAAATACAGCTCAGTGTTGCCTGGAAAGCAGTGGAACTTTATTTCAGCTAGAAGAGAAAATGTTGTTTATTTGCAACAGTCATGACTAAAAGCCTCAACGCACTGGAACAGGAATATCAGTTTACAGCTCACACCTTGTGAAGTTCTGTGATTTTAAGGAGCAGCACTCTCAGGTTTAAAACCAGCACTCAGAGTATTGTCAAGGCTCTTAGGAGCCTGTGGAGTAAAACTGCTCTAGCTTAGACAGGAGTTAGTGTGCAAAGGCACAGTAACAGAAGCATCAGTGCTAAGCAACAACTGAACTACACTCCCATGAAGTCAGTTTGCTTTCCTTGAGTTGATGAATTTGTGTTTAAAAATTCTTCAATCTGCATCTGATTAACGGAAGCCACAGAGGATCCAATTTGCCTTTTGGCTGTGGTGGAGTTACAGTAACACTGGCAAAGTGGTGCTGCATGGCCTGAAGCAGCATCAGGGCAGAGACTTTTTTTGTTCACAAACACAGTGTGGAGAAGCTTCCTGTTTCTAAGAATTAATCAAAGCTTTGAAGATTATTTTTTTAAATTTTGCCTCCTGTTTCAGTATTTTTGTTCCTCTGACGTGTGCATGAGAGTCATTAGTATCCACATTAATTTCATTATTCCTGAACAGCCACCTTGGCCTAGTTAGAGATTGATGATGCTCGGAACATGTTTGTGTGTCTCTGGGATGGGGGCAGTGGATGTCTGAGAAACATAATTGGAGCAGAAGGAGGTTTAATTAAGTGATCAAGCACTGCAAACTGCCCGAGCTGGGACCCACAATATGCAGGGACATGTGGGTGTCTGAAGGTTTAGGAGCATCCTCTGCTGAGGGTGGAATTTGGAGCCTACACTTAGTAAAGTCTCAGTGGAAAATGTGCTGCTGGGCCCTCAGACAAAGGTGATGATTGTGAGTTACTGTATTCCCAGTGTATGGTGGGGAGGGACATTCCCTTAATTCACATTAACGCTGTGTGATGGCTGTGGCAGCTGGATCTGAACGTTGGGATGGTGAGATTCCAGGTGGGATGATAACCCCTGGGTAGACACGGGTATAGAGGAACCAGCATTTCTTGAGGTGGGATCCTGGAGCCCCTGGGGGGCTGCACAGTGTCCCACAGAGCTGGGGAGGGACTGGTGACTTCTGTGAGCCCTGCACCAGCACATGAGAAATAATCCCAGAGCATAGATCAAAATCTGCTAAAACTTTGTAGAGAAACAATTTATTGCCAGGAGTCCCATGAAATTTAAGGACTAAAAGGTTCAGGTACATCAGTTTACAAGAGCACAGTCACCTTCTTAAACAGTGCACTGGGATGCTTGATTTTTTAATTAATTAATTAGGAGATACACTAAGCTTGCTAGGACAGTGGGACTAATTAAGGAAGGACTGACGTGTACAGGGTGGGGGGTTTGCAGCTTCTCACGGGGCTTTGGTTCATTGATATTAAACAGCTCACGATCACATCTTTTCCATGGGATTCCATATAAAGATTGAAAATCACCGTAGAGACATCTTTAAATTATTCACCCCAGAGTTTTTGTCCTGTATATCCCAGTCATTCCCCTGATTTTACAGGTGGACAGATGGAGAGCTCCAGATCTGCAGGATTTTGGTGTCAGGAAGCCCCTGGCAGGGCTGTAGGTACGAACCGTTCCTGGGCGTTGCCCACCCTGAGTTTCAGCTCCACCTTTGCCTTCAAGTTTCTCGTAGCAACATTATTCATAAAGAGGCATCAAACACTGCACTGCTTGTGCTGCTTTCTTCAGATCTCGGTTCCCTGAAGATGTCTCATCCAAATACAGTCCCAAGCCAAAACTACGGGACTTGGATCTTCACAAATGTGATTAACTTCACCAGTGTGAGTCGTCCCATTGGGATTCTTCACCGTACTACAGATAAATGTGTGTAATTGCAGAACTGAGGCCTTAGGCTGTGAGAAGTGAAGAAATCACAGCTTGAGGTACTATATCTTCAGATTCTTTGTGGGAGGTTTTGTATTAATAGTCGATTAATCCAATGTGTCAAAACAAATAAAGCTTTAAATATTTAGAGATTAGGAGGTGCCTAATAAGAAATTCACGGGGGAAAAGGAAGATTCCCTGATCACTACAGCAGCACTGGGTAATTCAGAATAAAATAGGTAGGATAACACAGGTAAATGCTTCACATTTAACATGTCATGGTTCTGCAAGGGTTTTTGATGTGTATAAAAATGCACCAGGAGAGGAAGAGCCTTCTCATCCAGCCAGACTTCCCAACCTGTGTTTTTGTTTGAGCCTTTTTACTGTTTGTGGAAGCTGTCCCAGGCAAATACTATGCCTTTGTTTGCTTAGAGTTGTTTTTTGGAAGAAGAAAGACGTGATCAGCAGGCAATCTGCTGTAATGTGTGAGTTGGCAAGGCAGGTTCCCCACCTCCCCTCTGGACGGGAATCTGTGGTGAGTGGCTGGTTGGACTGTGAGTGGGAAACAGGGACCAGACTGTGGGTGAGTGGGCAGCCCCAGCTCCAGCACTCTGTTTAATTTGTTATTTAAGTATCAGAACATTTATCTGGCCTTCTCTCCCTGATTTTGGTAATCTTTCTAATGGAGGAGCTTCAGGTGAGTACAGGATTCCTGTGGCGATGGCTCACAGATCCTCCTCAGTGCACCCGACTTCCTCAGAAGGTGTGGTCTGTTATAAACCCTCAGATCCAGCCTTGGGCCATACAAACACCGTGCAGCCAGAGTGGTAAATGATTTAGGAGGCATTCTTTTTATTTCGTTAAAGTTTTGGGGATAAAACCAAAACTGGGAGGCCAATGACCAACTGTGTATTACTGCACAAAAATGGACAGCTCTGTTAACACGAGTCTTCTTCAGAGTTAATGTCTGGAAATCTCTTCATATCAAAAGAAGAGTGGTGAAAGAGGTGAAGGGGAAAGGAGCTAAATCTAAAAAAAAAAAATAAATATGTAGAATCCAAAACCAAAACCCATTAAGAACCCAATGCTGCTCTGCTGTTGCTGTGCATTCAAAGGATGTGAGTCATTTCAGAAAAGAATGTATCTTGGATTATGTGTGTGTACATAGGAGAGGGCTTTTTGAGCTAAACCCCTCAGTTAGATAGGAGTGTTTAAAATAAATGGAATTTAGAGTTTGAGGTTTTTTTTTTTTCCTTAGCATTGTTATTGCACCTTGAGTTCATCTCATGCCCAGCCACCATGAGCAGAGGACAAAAAACAGGCAGAACTTTTTAGACCCTGTGATAATGACTGTAATTAGCATCACCAGCTATGGAAATTGCAATATTCCCTACAGGTTTCTTGTCATTATCCCACGTTTCTGCAGTGAAAATAAAGATTTTTAGACAGGGTATCTTCTGTGTTTAGCACTGTCCCACTAATGGTAACGTTCCAGCCTCCGTGACTGCGTGAATCCATTCTTAATGCTTGTGTCTGCTGTGGTCTGTGTGAAAGCTGTATCCTGCCAGAAAGCAAACATGCTCCTGTCAAACAGTGGATGTTGTTCAGCATCCAGAATGAAGCCTTTTTCTTTATGATGTGGTCAGGGCACGTAGCGTGGGATTTTCTGAGCTGGTGCAAATGTTACTCGAAGAAAGTGTGTTTTAAAATCCCAGTTTGTGAATGTTTTAATTGGAAGTTCAGTGGGGTCATAAAATGAATTATTTTTGCCCTTAAACACGTGTCAGGGCTGGGTCAAACTACTGTATGAAGGCAGGGTTATGTCCTGATGGCACTGATGGAACTGAGACCTGGCTGCAGAGGCTGCCAGCGCTGAAGGTGGGCAGATTTCCCTGCCCAAGCCTCCACCTGTAGCACAGGGTGTTAGACCTCAGCCCCTAGAGCTGAAAATATCTTGAGTTTCTTCCCTTGTTTTTCAGTTTGGGTCGTTAAGTGCCGTGTCTGATGCATTTCTGAGCTGAATAATTTTGACAGCTGCCAATTTGGTACACATACCATGGGCTGAGCTGGGAGCCACCAGGCTGGGCAGGATTCTGCTCTACCTGGCACAGCAACAACCTCGGGCACAAAGGGGGACCTAAATATGTATTCATGAGGGAACTAGTTGGGCAGAGAAAGGTCACCCCAAGCATCTGAGACCCTCAGTGGTTTTTATCCTGGATGAACCTCTGCTTACAGAAATCAGTGAACACGCCCATGTTGTTTTCAAAGCTGTGTTGAACTTTGAACTGCTCGGGTTTTTAATTACATTGTTCATGATTGTCACCATTTATTTATTACTTATATTTCTGTTCATTTTGAAGCTGATCTGGGTGTGAACAGAAGATTATTTGGGTTCAGGGGTTTGTCTAGAATTCTGACACACACTACAGTGTCCAGTAAATGTAAATACTGTTATTTTATCACTTCACATTAGTGCTATCTTGATGGGAAAAAATTATTTCGTTCTGAAATATGGTCCTTCATGGAGGCTGAGAGGCAAATTGTCTTCAATGACTGACCAGAGCGGGAAGAAGGCAGAAATGCCATCTCCTCTGAATTAATTATGAACCACACAGCTCTTGCTATTATCTGTTTACACATTATTGGCCTTGTGATGTGCTGGTGAGAGGATTTTCTTTCACTGTCTGGTCCAAACGTACGTTAAGTCCAATTTCATTAAGAAGGCTGCTCGCCTGCCCTGGTGAAAGGGTCATTGTGTGAGTTATTACAGTGTTTTCTTTGTGCTCGCTTCCCCCAAATTCCAGTAACTATTTTGTAGAAAAGTTTGAAAGTGAACTTTTGATGCCTGTGAAAGCTGCTTCATTGACTTTATTGACTCCAGAGCCTGAAGTTCTTTATCCACAGAG